GAGTTTGATTCGGGAAATGAGAAAGCTATTACATAACTGGCACACAGATACTTGTCCCTTGATTAGCGAGACTCGCGTTAAATCGCATTTCAGTGAAACAGGTACATTCACCTTGCTCTGAAAAGGCGGCATCGATTCTGGTATGTATGGTCGGCACCAGTGATCGTTCTTCTCTGGATCATGAGTCGTAAGTGTGAGGTATGGTAATAAAAAGTGCCTGCTGGGCAAGGTCTTAACACGGCCTGGGCCGCCTTACTAACCAGCTCCTTGATGAGACCTGTCAGCTTCTGCTTGGCCTTCTCCGTGCTCTCCTTGGTACCGATGATGGTGATGAGCGTCTTGTCTTCGTCCTTGGCAGTGGGGAACACCACCCGGGCCCCTGTCTCCTCCCGCACCTGCCGGATGTTGGCGCCATTGCGGCCGATCAGGAACTTATAGTACTCGGGCTTGGCGTGCACCTCCACGGAGTAGTTGGCCTGCTCCTGTGACCAGAGTCAAAAGGGAAGCACCACTGAAATGAGGCAAGCTTACAACCAACATGCAGGCCCCTATTTAAAAAAGGGAATTTCACTCTTTGCAGAAGAATAACCAGATGGAAAATTTTGTGCTTCTTACAGATGATATAAATTTCAATGATCCGCACACGTAAGCTACTTGTCAATCAATTAGTACTAAGTATCAACTACTCATATTTTGAAAAGCAAATCTGACACTGAATATTCTTATTACAGAGTTCAGAATTGACGAAATAATACTCGTACAGTGTTCCTATGAAGCATTCATGCTTATAGGCCAACTTAATAGGTCAGTACAAGAAGGAAACTACTGCGTCCCCAAGCACAGGAGGTGGTTTTCAAGACACAGCGTTGGAAGTGTTCTGTGACGCTTGGTACTTTGTTCTCGAGTGTCTCTGCCTTTTTGAAAAACCAAATTGGCCCGTTCTTAACACATACAACAACTGAGCCTCTTTCAGAACCCTTCCATTTGTAAAAACCAGGGGGGGTGACTCGTTGATCAAAGTCACTGAGTACCTTCTCGTTGGCGAGCTCGATCAGCCTCTCCTTGGCTTTCTCCACCTCCTCCTTGGGACCCCGGATGGTAACCTTGTCGCTCTTGGACCCCTCGGTGGGGAAGTGGATGTGCACCCCGCCGCACTCATCCATGATGGCGCGCACCAAGCGCCCCTTGGCGCCAATCAGGGACTGATGGAACTTGGCCGGGATGCTGACTTCAATCTCCAAGATATTGGTCTGGTGAATAATGAAGTGCACAGACTATATTATTACCCCTGCTCATCAGGCCACTATGCGACTGATGGGAATGGGCACAGGTGCTGACTTCAATCTCCAGACTTTTGGTCTAGTGAATACTGAACAAATGCTGTTACCCCTGCTCATCAGTCCAATATCCAACTAACGAAACTCTGCCGGGATGCCGACTTGAATCTCCCAAAAATATTGGCCAAGTGAGTGATGTGGCATATGAGCTACATTATTACCGCCCTGCTCTTCGAATTGAAGAAAGCTGGCCAGGGTGCTGACTTCAATCTCCAAATTTTTGGTAAGTTTGGTAACATTATTATCCCTGGTCATCCGGCCAACATTATTAACCCTGGTCATCAGGCCAGTAAAAAATCATGGCTCCAAAAAGACAGACAGACCTCAGCCAGTATGCTGAGTTCCAGCTGAAGAATACGGCCCGGGTGAACAATGTGATAAGATAAAGCACAATTATCCCCTTTCATCTGACCAAGAAATCATTTCTCAGAGTACACGTGCCTTGTCTATCCGCCCCGAGCTGAAGTGCACCCCGAATCGGCGAAAGAAAGACAGCTGGTTACGAGCAAGTTCTTGCATGCATTCGGCGTGTACGCAAAGACCATAGATACCGGAATAACTTAGTTACGTGTACTCAGTGTGCTCCATGTCAAACGCACATGTACCTGCGCTCCCCATGGCGCGTCTATGCGCTGAGTGCCCAAAAACACACGCCCTCTTTTGTTCTGCTCGGAGCGGATTCAGTGATTGAAACGTGCCAAGGACGCCCGAGGAGGAGGGCCCTATCTGCATTCACTTTTGTACGTGTACATACCAATTCGTTCTGAATGGCCAGAATCTGCGCTTTGGCCTTCTCCACGTTCTTCTTTTTGCCGGTGATCTGAATCATGTCGCTGTCGCTGCTCTCGGTTGGTATTTCAATACGTGTGTCCGTCTCCTCCTTGATCTAGATCAACACAAAAATCACTTTGTTTTACACTTTGTCAGTTGTACCATGACGTGGACAATCACACAAAGACTTTGTGTGACAGATGTGCCATTTCCTGGTATTAAGCGATGTCTGGCTTTGAACACCTCCCAAGGCAGAACAACCAGTTCACGCCAAAGGACATGCAAGCATACAATGATTTCTGTCACTGCTTGACAGACAGCAAGTTCGCCAACTTCACTATTGAATGATCAAACTTACAGGTGACAGGTCAGACCGTCAAATATCTCATGCACCTCAAGTCGACATTCTCCACCAAGAATGTTACAATCCCAAGCCCAGGGCCAGTTCCGGAGATTAATCCTGGCATCGAGCAGTTTAAGAGAGACCTTATGATCCTAAGGAGTTAACAGGTGCGTTAAAAGAAGGGCATGTCTCACACCCTCCTCAACCCCCCACCTTGTTGATGGTGGCCCCTCCCTTGCCAATGACATTCTTGTGGAACTTCTTATAGATGGGCACGTTCAGTTGGTAGTTGTTGGCCACTAGCTCCAGAGCCAGCTGGTGCAGGAACTTGTAGCACTTGTCCACGTCCTGCTTGGGGCCGCGCAAGGTAACCACATCCGACTTCATGCCGGGATCAGGGAATGTGATCTGGACCTGACGACGTGAAGATAAAAGGGTGGGGGGGGGGAGACTTGGGGTCAATTGGAAGATCTCTGCGGTCCTACCAATCTGAACAAAATGCTTGTGTGATGTAAACAAGCGGATGCAAAGAAGGGGTTGACCCCGATGAAGCAAAAAGGGGGTGGATGAGGGATTAGCTGGAAAAACAATGCAAAATCCTAAATTCTTGACAAAGCTGCCGGTTTGGTAAATGATCAGTCCTGTGACATGGGATACATTTATTTTCTCTACCTGGGGAAGAAGACTGATCTATTGAATGTGCACGACAATCTGAATACTGACAGGGTTAAATACGGTAATGTTGATGTAGCAGAATACTTCTGGGATTTGAACCTCATTACCTCAAGGGTAGATTCTGGCTCAAATGGAGAAATGACATGGGTATAAAAATGTATCAAAAATACTTGATTTCGACCTGATGACGTCAAAATGGGGATAGATTTGGGGTGAACCGGAGCAAATCTTTAGATCACACAAGCGTATCACAACACTTGAGAACTGAAGGCAACCTGGAGGTGCAGGCACTTTCAATAGACATGTATATGCACCATCTGTGTCTTTCTGTCTGTCTGATTCTCAGTCACCAACCTGATTGTACTTGTCTCTAATGTCCTTGATGTTCTCGCCCTTGGTGCCAATGATTGTCCGGTGGAATCGATGCTCAATCAGGATGTCCCGAGTCTTCTCGTTCTCCTGGGGCCAGATGGAAGGCACAAGACCGTCACGCTTGTGACCAAAAGCTTGCCGAGGTCAGTGGTGTTGCCAAGACCGTCACGAGACCGGACACAAGCAGGCCGGTCACAAGCAAGACGGGGAACAGTGACAAAGGAATGCCTTTACCACAGTTCATTCAAATACCCTGCGACTTGAATAGCTGACAGCAGGTGTTGTGGAGTCTTGTGATGGTCCAAAAGGGTCTTGACTACAACGCACTGACCGAGGTGTATGCCAATTTCATGGCTTATGTTTTCCAACAACTCACACAATATTGCAGCATTACTGCAATGCATTGCAGATCATTCTTTGGTCTACAAGGCCAATTTTGTTTGACATTTTTAACAACAAAACATCTTTTCAAAAATATCGGTTACGGGAAGAAAACAAGGTTGTAACAGATCTGAAGAGAAAGGTAAACATACCGAATGCAGTGAATGAAGCATGTCCTCGGTGAAACATGCAGATCTTTGTATCTTAAGAACGTCTTCATGTCTGGGTTCGTTGGCATTGAATGGCATGATTCCAAGTACATAAAAGACACCTGGGAGCTTTAAGCCTTGAAATGATAGTTTCAACCAGGCTGGACCGCATCTACAGACATACCATGCGAGTGGCCAACTCCATCAGTTCGTTCTTGGCCTGGCGCACGCCCTCAGGGCTGCCCTCAACGCGGATCTCGTTGCTCCTCTCCAGGTCTGTTGGAATGCGGATGGACACGCCTGTCTCCTTCTTGATGCGGTTCACTGCCAGCGAAAAATAAGCACAATGCAGGATCATGGAGAAAAGTATAGGGCTGTGCAGATTATTCCGATATTCGGATATTCAGTTGGCATTTTCTTATTTGAATATTCAAAGATGTAGATTGATGAATAAAACAGGGGATTCGATTGTTTGTGACAAAACTGCATTCTAAAAGCATATTTCTAGGGGTAATGGGTACACTTAAAGGAGCTTAATGTAACTGGCCAACAACAAGACCAGAAATTACTCTTTTTTTCAAGTTTTCCCCTTTATTAACCTTTTTGTAAAACTGTACATTTTATTTCTGCTTTCGTGAGAATTCTGTTTAACTGAAGATTTGAATTATCAATCAAATAAAAGGTCAAATATTTGAATATTCACTTCATCGAAATGGCCAGGCTTAGTGAAATACATTAAGCTGTTTAAGCTTGGCAGATGCAACTTGGAAAAACAAGATCAGAGCCCGAGAGTCCCCACCGCCTACCGTTTGCTCCTGACTTGCCGATGATGTGCTTGTGGAACTTGGGGTCGATCTTGACAATGGCGAAGTCCAGTCGGCTCTGGAGGTCACGGGAGATCTCCTCCAGGGCCCGCCGTGCCTCTTCCACCTGATCAGGGGGCCCCTCCAGGGTGATCTTGTCCAGACCCTCGGCAAACTCCACGTGAACCTGCAGTGGGTTTGGGGATTAATCAAATACAATTCATTTCCCGAGGGATTAATTTGGAACTATGACAACGAATTACCAATCCTAATAAAACACAAATGTTTGAAAAGTGAGCAATCACATTTTTCCAGCAAAAGATATTTTAAGGTCATTTAACAATGTAAATAATGAAAAACACAATCAGACGAATAGTACAGCAGCTTTCAACAAGTTCACAACAATACGAGTTTTAGCAATTGCTCCATATCGCTCATCAGTTAATGTGACAGGTTACAGTTGCCTCCACAAAGCTATTTACAAAGTCATAATACTAGAAAGTCATCATCATAAAATTATTATAAGGTTCCTCTCTAACCAACTTTTCACTTCAAACTGAAAAAAATTCTTCAAAACATATGGCCTGGAACGCAAACATGTTTAGGCGTCAACAATGCATCCCAGTGACTGAAGTCTACCAACATCAGTCGACCAGCTTGCTTACATTGGACAGGTTCTGGGTGATGTTGCGGATGTTCTTCCCTTGGCGTCCAATGATGAAGCGGTGCAGCCAGGCTGGCGCATCCACCTCTTGGATGACCACGCTGTTAGCCTACAAAAAAGTTAACGAGCAATTCCCACAAATCATGAATATGTTCTGGATGAATGGCATGCCCAAAGGTTTCGGCTACAACTAGAGGTAACATATACGCACTAATGGAAGTCACAGGCTCGTGGCTGCGGCTACTTTTGCATGGGTGTGTGTGTGTTTCTCCTTGCCAAAGCCTCTTGGTTCGGACATGGCCTAACCCGGGGGGAGGGAGGAATGGGGACTACTGAGCATAACATATGGAAAGATATAGGATGACATACATACAATTTACACTTCGAGACATGGAGAGCAGAGAGTATTGTTTCAGATTTTATTACCAAATCAGATCAAAACCCACATCAAACCGGAGGAAAACTATTAACAGCTGCATGGATATCAAGTAAGAAGTTTACCAGATACACTTGTGACCTCTAAGATAAGAAAGGTTCATTTCCGGAGGAGCTGAGAAATTTCCAAAGAGCTCATGAAGTTTGTGGACCGAAATTAGGTGGGATTAATTGGTTGCTGAGCACAACGTGAAGCAACAGGGGCAGAGGGATTACTCCTCGAGGGAAGAAAATCAACAGGAAGACAGAGAGGTACGGCGAGGGGGGGGGAAGGGGTCAGGGACCAGGACGGGAGGGCATCACTTTCCCCCTTTTACCTTGGCGTAGACGAGGGTGATGGCCTGGCCCAGCTGGTGCTGCTCCCCGCGCAGCGTGATGGTCTCTGACACCGAGTCCGGGTTGGGCATCTCCACCGAGACACCGGTGGCCTCCAGGATCTCAGCGATGTTGCTCCCCCGCGGACCGATCACGTACTTGTGCTGGCACTTGTTGACCTCCAGGGAGACGGTTGTTGTCTTCGACTTCTGCAAAGGGGGTTTCCAAAGTGTAAAGATCCATCCCATGGCAGTGCATGCAATGTACCACAGTCGAGTCTTGACAGTAAGAGCACCATTGATACAACATCCTAATTATAACAATGTCAATTTTAGGTGTGAAGTCAGTGTATTTTTTTTTTCCACTCTGGGTAATACAAGGTCCCTGCTACAGCAAGATAACCTGTAATGTGTCAATTAACATAAACCTGATAAACGGGTTCAACTTTCCCCAGACAAAAATATGTTTTGAGTTCCAAGCCACAAGATGTAAAAACACTGGTAATGGCTGAAAGGGAATTCTTCTGAATCTTCAAAGACATGGAAATTGCGGAGAATTTGCCATGAGCAAAAAGTAGACTGCATACAGAACATTGCCTAATAAACTGGACCACATTTAGGTTACACTGCAAACAAATGCAGTTTTAAATTGTAGTTAAATTACTGTCCAGCCTACTCATGCGACTTTATTATTGCTGAAGGGGTCTTGACTAGGCATTACTAACTTAAACTTAACTATGCACTAAGACGCATGATGAGATGATAACATAGCGAGTGGATAGACTGGTGTTTGAAGGGTTTTAAGAATGGCACCTTTGCATTGTACGTGGCATTGATCCAGTCAATCGCTTCCATGACAGCCTCCTTCTCCCCGGACACCACGATCTCGTCCTTCATGGCACTCTGCGGCGGCACGTGGATCTTGGCGCCCGTCCTTGCCTTGATCTCCTTGATGAAGGGGTGGTAGATGCGCGGGATGGTCAGACGCTCAAAGGCGAGCTTGGCCTGGCCAGGGGAACCAAAGGAGAGAGATAAATGAAGAAACTCTGATGTGTTAGACAGCTGCCGACGTACATTACTTCTACATGTACTTTAAACCTGGCTGAGTGACTGAAATGGAATGCAAGTCAGTTGGTTGTGTGTTTACTATTATTAAAGAGGCTGAGCTCCGCCTTAGGGTAACATCCTGTAAAAATTGTATTTTGAAGGATCTGGGGTCAGGGGTCAAGCTAGAAACTCAGAAAGGAGTCTTTTTTCCCCTCGAAATGACAAGAGTGAGTACCTGCTCCTCCGAGATGAGCTGGATCTCGTGGCGAGCCGCCTCGATCCCTTCCCTGGGCCCCACAATGTGGATCAGATCAGAGGGGTCACTGGGGTTGGGGATGTTAATCTTGGTGGCGGTCATGTTCTCCAGCTCCCTCAGCTTGCTGCCACCCTTGCCGATGATGAAGCGGTGATGCTCTTTCGGGATGGGGATGTTCACGTTGGCCTGCGCGGAAGAAGTAAGAAGAAGGAACGTGATGCCAATCAACACAAAAGGAAATTACACTCCATCTAGGCACTTACAGTGTTGGCATGGTATCTCAACTCGCAGAGCTTTTGCGTAGCCAAATCTCACTCCAAAAAATAAACAAAAGTTTGAAAATAAAGAACAAAAAAAAAGAGACACCAATAGCATTTTTGTTTTAATGAAATTTTATTGAAGCACTAAGAGGTGTGCCCTCAGGTGATGAAAAAAGTCGTCTGACTCATCGGGAAACCACGCCCGAGTACGCATGTGCAGGGCGCTCGTTGCGGTATCAGAAATGGGACCACCACAATGCGTCACACATGCACAACGCAAAAGAAAGATTTGCCACACAAAGGTACACAGTATAAATGACTTACAGTACATGTAACGTGTTATTTATCAGCCCATTGACAACAAAAATCCTCCAAAATGTCTTTCTATGAACAAAAACTTGTGGCACCAAAGTATGAAATAACCACAATGTCATTTCAAAAGTCATCGTAGGGAGATTTACGGTAACTGTGCGTCAGCGTATACTGTAGGTCCATGTTATGATACACGTCGCAATGATGACTTAAGCTCAAAAGAAATCGGGACCTTCTTGTAACTCGAATTTCGGATCACTCGAATTTTTTGTCCATTCCCCGGAGATTCGAAGTATCGAGATTTTACTGTCCTCATACAGCACAATTCCATTACTTATCAATAAACTTTACAGAATAGAACGCAAAGATACGTGGAACAAAAATTTGACACGAAAAAAGGTAAGGGAAACCAAACAAAAAAGAGACCATCCAGGTAGGTGTTGGGTTAGAAGACGCTTGAATAGGAGCCCTTAACACGGTTGATGGAAGGTTTAATGCCAGGATTATTTCGACTGGCACTTCCAAAAGTTGTAACCAAGTCATTGTGAGGCATCACTGGCAAGTTGTCAGTAGAGTCAAAAGCTAACTCATTTGACTTGTGACACCATGGACAAAGGTATCAGGAACTTGTCTGCCTTTAGAGTCATGGAGCCCATCCTGCATCTGCCCAAATCCCAAACACGTCCTGTCACAAGGGCCCCTTCTTTGGATAGCTTGCACTTCAGAGAATTTCAAGAACACAGATGAAATGTGACAATGCCTGTTACATGCTACAATCATGCACCCGAACATGCAGTCCGGGGGACTGTGAAAACTGGCCTACACGATCTGCCTTTCGGTTGCCTACCTGCGTCTGGAGTTTGTTGAGAACCTCCCTGCGAGCCGCCATGACAGACTCCTGCTTGCCGGTCACCACGATGGTCAAGCTCTGGTCCTTGGCTAAACTCATCTCAATTGAAGCTCCTGAAGAAATACGCCAACAAACAAAATACCACACTCAAAGCGTACACCATCATCTGTTCCCCCGCTTTGCATGATAAAGAGATGTAACTACATAGAGGGAAATGAACGAGACACTGATGAATGACGGAAAACACCTGTTGACGAGGAGGCAAAGCAACAAGATCCAATTCAGCGTTTATCTCAAACTACCATTTCCATCAAACATTTAATCTCACCGGCTAATGTAATTTTTACACAAACCCAGAGCGGTTACGTTTATGAAATCTCTGCACCAGTCAGAGGATGCAGCTGGAGATAACAAAAAGAACAGAGACTTCCAGGTGTGAGTGGGTAATCGTAAGATGAACTTCTTGCAAAGTCTGACCTGTGTTCTTCATGATCTCAGCACAGATTCTGCCCGACTGAGAATCACTCTCTCCAAAGCCTTGATTCATCTCTTTGTAACGACGCTCCTCCAAAGGCACATAGAAAACCTGGAGGGAGGGAATCGGTTTCAGGTTTAATCTTTCACTTCCTAGGTACATTTACGTCACAGATGCGCAATGTATCCCCAGGTGCTATGCTGTAAATTACACGTACGGTAAACTTCTGCTTTGTCTATTGTCTGGCTGTTTCAAAGTGCCCGTTGATTTCTTGGAGATTCTCAAATTCCGCTGATGCTATGCAGGAATCCCCACAGCTTCTCAGACTTGTACATGTATGTGGTACTGAATTTGCATATTTCTCGCACATGTTCCATACTTTCATGAAACCTTCAAAATATGGTGCAGTCAGTATTAGGTATTCAAGAACCAGTTACACAGTGTAAAATATGTTAAGGAGATTCTTCAGTGCATGTACATGTACGAGCAACGATTCCCATAAAACACAGCCACACTGAAGGCTCTGTATTGAACTGTAACTGTATATTTATGATTCTGACTTGCACTGGGCATAAATGGGTATAACACATAAGAGTACACGTACAGTACATGTACATGTACAATGTACCCTATCCCATTATGCTCAAGGAGGGATCTGCCACCGGTACATGTGTACATGTATGTGCATGGTTATCACGAATACATTTACATAAACATGTATGTGTTAACATGTACAAGGAGGGTACATGTACATGTGTAAATGTACTAGTACATGGAAGTGCAACATACATGTACATGCACTGGTACGATGTCCATGTACATGTATGTACACCATGTCATGTCACGTAGTGTGTGTATTGGCAAGCATATTTTTATCTTCATGTGAGGATCTACCACTATTATGGTGAGTGTGGGTATACTTGATGGGGAGGGGGGGAGAACTCGATCAGTTGTGATTTTTTTCATATCTATAGTAGGACCTCTATTCACTTCATTCACATCAGTCAGTAGGTCCTTCAGACTGCGACTTGAATGAAATAAATAGAGTGTAGGCCCTACTATATGAAAAAAATCATGGCTGATCAGGTTCTCTTCCCCCCCCCCCGATCGGGTATGTATACCCACACTTACCATATACAGCGTATGTTTGAAAGTAGACAGAGGATTGTGAGAATATATGGGATTCTTAAGTTGACAAGCAAACATGAATGAAATAATCCAGGACAAATGCCACTGACATGACTAAATATGACGCACTGAATGGCATTTTCAGGGCACGTACATGCAGTTGATGGGGCACACACCACAATGCTCATAAATAATACCAGTGAGCGATGAACAATGCCATTTATCTTCGCAGTGCAGATTGTTAGAACGGCGTTTGACTGCACTGTATTGTACATGTACATGTACAACCGCACTAAATGCGGAATTACGTGTACATGTAATATACATGAACCGGCACATTCAATGTATGAATCCTGATGTGACAAATGGTACACAGAACGGTGTACATTGGTACGGGTGCAGTGTACATGTATATTTTATGCCTTTTCCCACTGAAAACAATGTCTGGAGCAAGACGCACATGTGCCATGTATGAATATCGGAGCAATGCCTGCTTCAAATGCCACAATAGATGATCTGCGTGCAATCGACAAAGCTACTCTCACAGGCAGCAAGTACGCGTCAAAATAGGGCGCTGCCACGGACGTGGCGCGTTGCGGTACAGTACACGCACAAGGTTACGGGGACATTTTCCGGTAAATGATAGGCGTGTCAAAGATGCAATTTGGCGGAAATTTTAGGGGCAAAAACGGAAAAAGTGAACAAGCGAAAATTTTCTGCAAAAATGGGGAGCGTTGGGAGGTCTGCATGCAGCACTATAGATTACCACTGGCACAGACTGAATGAAGGAAACAGACAAGTTTTCCCGCCGCACCCTTAAAGCTGTCTGCAAAATTCAGATCTACTGCAAAAACACAAATCTGGACTACAGCTGGGCAGATCCTCAACTTTGCACGTGCTTCATGTATGTCCCATGCGTAACGGAGGTTTTAGCCTTGATGACACTCATAGATTTCAGTGTTTTGCCCTTCTGCTGTTTGGCATCTTGACGGAGAATGCCCACAAGAATTTTTACATAACCAGTTTTTGTGATGATTACCTATCGCTACATGTAATTAAAGAGAACATGCCTGCCAGTGGACTTCCAATTAGTTTTTGTACAGAAAGCGAAGAAGTAGGAAGTCCTAAATGATTTCAAATCTAAGAATGTTGGTTGACAACGCTGCAATTCACAAATCACAAAGGACCCCCTGGCTGTGCGAGGGGCCAGCCCACCTTACCTGAGTTATAATGGAAGACTTCACCGCCATCTTGGCGTAGGATTTGGGTCCAATGTTGGACACCATGGCGCCGGGCACCGCGTCACCTCCGCTGCTGCTGCTAGCGATGCCGCCCTGGCCGTTGGCGACAGTCGCCGCCAGGGGTGGGAACACCTCGTCATAGGTGGGCGGCTCGTAGGCCTCGTCGTCCATGCTTACCACGGGCAGCTCGGCGTGGTCGCCCATGGCGCCCGGCCCGGGCCCAAATCCGGGCGGGGGAAGGGTTGCTGCAGGTGTATCCGTATTCATGGTCTTGGCCGTAATCAAGTCAAACAGCACCACTGGCTCTGCACAACATAAAATGGAAAGGGGTAAGATGTACAATGTACATGTGCAGTAAGAGGAAACAGACAGCAATGTACATGTACATGAAAAGGAAAACTGAGAGCGAGAGGAGAAATGTCCCGTACTTTATGTCTACTTACAGACTAGACACTCTTAAAACGGAAAGTGGGACAGCACATGAAAACTCAACTACATGTAGCAGCAGAGCATTGTCGAAATGACTTGGCTATGGCAGGCAATGAAACAAATCTGTATTCACGTACATGTAAATAGGAAATGGCTATTGACACTGGCTGGCTGCTCCCTAAGAACATGGGTATTCTCCAGCCACAGCCAAGAAATTCTGACAGAAATATACTGCTCTACAGGGTACCAGTATGTACCGGGCTGGTAGAGACTTGAGAGTCATTTTATTTATCAATCTTTACAAGGAAATCTCTGTGTATCATCTGGGCTCTTTTTACAAGGCTGCAGGCCTGGCTGAAATACTCAGACGTCAATAGATTTTGTCCGTCAGGCTAGAGGGGCCACCAGACAGTCCTTCACGTGTTTGTAAGTGTCCAGTAAATGAAGATAGGAATTTTTAAAGAATTTTGAAAACAGAAAAAAAAGATAAATTTCCCGACCCAGCATCATCAACATTGATAACTTCCCCGGCAGGAAGTGGTTAAGCCTCCAACATCATAATAGTACTAGCATCTGCAGTGCCCAAACTTATCAATCTTTACAAGGAAAACTCTGTGTGTCGTCTCCCCTTCACCATGATGCCAAGTTCACAATCCATCTTCGTCTCCAACCGTAAACATCTCCACAGATTTTTGGCGCCTTTATCAACAGACAGGCCCTCATCTCGGTCAATTATTTGATATACCATTAGGTCAAATTATCGAGAATCTTACATATCCTGTGAAACATCCCCAAAATCAACCAATTTTCCGTAGAAAGCCACACAGAATCCAGTACACCCTGTACACGTATGTACACAACTCTACACGCAAACACGGCATCCATGTTTTGCTGCTTATGTACATGTAGCACGTGCACAATACATGGCATTTGTTGATCGTTTTACACTTATGTTCTGGCCCACTGCACACATTCCTGTAATTCTGCCATTACTTTTACTGCCACTACCCCAAGTACCCAATGTGCATACCGTGGTATATCAGAGGGAGTAACATAATTTTGTGTACTTCTTGATTGACTGTACTAGACTTAACCAAGTCTCACATGAATCTTCTTTTGTAAATAATTCCACCAAAAGTGTCCAACCAAAAAATCCGGAAAACCAACACCGGATATTTGAAGAATCCGGAAAACTCCGGAGGTATCTCACCCCTGGATACAGTGGACCTCTAGAAGTGTCTGTTTCCATAATACACACTGTGTAAGATTTTTCCTTTGGATGCTGCCGACTGGTCTTGATTAAGTTGATTTGCCACGGTCTCTAAGTTTAAGCCAGGCCATGTGTGTCATAACCGGTACAGCAGGAAATCATGGCTAGCCTGTGATTATGCCTACCAGACATAATGCTATGGGAGACACAGTACAGCACGGATGTCCTGTTGCTTTCTCTTTACACGGTAACGTCGTAACCTCAAGCATGGCTATTTATATCAAATACTAATTAGAAAAATTTGCACAACATCAAATTCATCACTATGATGTGACACGGTACCAGTGTTGTATTCGAGTCCATCACACGTCCCAGCAGTGCAAGTCCCTGTAACTTGTGCGTCTACATGTATCGCAAGTGAAGTCCATCACAAGTCATTTAGTCTTAAGCCAATTAACAAGCCATTCAACTGTGCTGTGACAAAAGCATACTTTTGTCTTTGTTCAACCTGTTACTTATGACTGGCCTTATGAAAGGACTTGTGACTGGACTTGTGAAGGGACTTATGACTGGACTTGTGAATGGACTTGTGATGGACTCGAATACAACACAGTGTGATACATTGCTACTTTTGTCAGGGAAGCAAAGTCAAAATGTTAATGATAATGGTTAATTAGTACACGTGCATTACTGAGCTATCACTAGTACATATGTACGGTGTACATGTACACGGACATGTGAGACTGTACATGCACTGTCCTGGTACTCTGCACGCATATACATGTAAGTAGACACACATCAAATACCTACCCAACGTGGGCATTCAGGTTTTCATGTCTACAGTTTCAAAAACTTGATGAAAATACTCTGTTTTCCCTTGAAAACCAAAAATATACTTTTAAAACCGTTGCTCAGAAAGGGGGTAAGCTTATATGGGCCTGGCCTGGTCCATGCAAGGTTTGTACGACCTGCACTGTGCGGGCCTCATTGGTCGACGTAAGATTGGCACCAGTGGGTCCATACATTCCTTCACAGGAACAGTATAAGCAGTGGGTTGTCACCATGGTCACTGGCACTGAGAGACAGACCTTTGCACAGTACTGTCAAGCAACCCCCCTAATAACTCATCTTTCGGTCATGTTCAGTTTCACTTCTTTGTCAAATTTCTGGTTTTCCCCACTTTTATCAAGGCAATGATGGTTCTGGCATAATCCATTTGTGGCAATTTAAAATCAATTATTACATGCAGGACATTTCACTGCCTACCTCCATTTTTACACCCCCCCCCTGAATTTCTTTAATATTAATTTTTTTTTCAGAAGTGGTTTGCTTTGGGTTTGTTTAAAGAAATGTATTCTTTGACAAAATCTCTCACCAAATCAACAGGAACAGTCTTACTGACTTCACAGAACACATTTTGATTGCATATATAAACTAGCTACCATCGTACTGATGCGTGATGCATTCTCATAGTGCCCTATACATGTAGCTGTTCAGGCTAATCTTGACACTTGGCCAAATTTATTATACTATTATTATTCAACTCAGGATGGATGGATTACAACAAATTTGTGCACGATCTAAGGGAAAGTTTTCCCTACACTTAGTTTCCATTAAAATGATATAACAGCCACAAGGAAGTGATAACATGACCGGAAAGTGAAATTCAGCCAAGAAAATTCCAAAACATTTACATGTACTTAGAAAACACTTCAGTTTTTCAGGCATGTCTCACACGTGTCAAAGGTTTGTATACAGAGGCATCAAGTGTTGTCCGTACATGTATATTGAACTCTTTCTGATTCAAGATTGTGCTGAAACTGGACTCTGTGGCCCTCAACTTCCAGTAATGACGTCTCCCACATTTGCATAACAAATTGTGTATGTAAATCTAAACCATCTGCCGGTCATATTTTGGATATTGCTGCCCTAAATTCTCTTTGGATGGGAAGTCAAGTTAATAAAATTCCCTCCCCTTTCCAATTACGTTCAAATCTGAGCACTACAAAAATAAATTTCAAATTTGTAGGTCAAAGTATCCACATGATGTTTTTGATTTTCTCCCATATTTTCCAACCATATTTAGTCATTTGAGTTGTGTTTATGACTTTGTGCCATGTTACATGCACTTGATTAAATATCATAAAGAATTGATTTTCCAAAGAAATTATATTATATTATTATTATATCATAAAGAAATGATTTTCAAAAGAAAGTATTTTGATGCAGTCTTTTCCCCCTCCCTTTTAGGTGCAATTGGAGACCCTCGCTTGTAATCCTGGAAGTAAATGGTAGAATTTTGTTTAGACGGCAGCCTTGGATGTTTTCTTCTGTTGAATCCAATTAAGGCATTAGAAGGATACCCAGGGCAATGGTAGGATCACCAAGCCCACTTCAAGGCAAAAAAAGTTGTCCCCATTTAGGGGGCATTCTCTCTTTCCGGGGACTGATTAAAGTTGTCCTTGAAACAAGGGACTTCTCCAAAAACAAGGGCAGTCATGACAGTCTCCGGTTTGTGTCCGCCCCACTCCCATGAACGTGGGAGCAGGCGGATGTCGAACCCCACGGTTCTGGGGGTAGGCTAGCTCCACACGTACATGTAGGGCTATAGTGGCTCTCTTTTACAATCTATCTCTTTTCTGTCGCCACCACAGCCCTACTTCAAGGCATGGCCTTCAAGGCGAAGCGCTGCTTTCGTTTTGCCAAAATGGCGCCGCCCATGGTCAGCATAGAAATATCACAGGCCAGGTTTTTCAAGGTGCCATACATTGAAAATGTACGGTTTGGGAAAGCTTTAGGGTGCTCATATAAAAGTCCAAACTCGGAGGAATATGCCATACGACAATGTCGAGTCACTCTCATTTCGAAAGATATTAGGATTCAAAGTTTGTGACACTCCTGCAGTTTGGATTTCGGGCATTCAAGACATGCCTTGAACTTGAATTACATGTGGGGCTGTGGTGGTGACAGAAAGGGACAGATTGTAAAACTTTAAAGAGAGCCACTACAGCCCCATTTCAGTATTTGTGGGGCTAGGGGTAGGCAGTTGCCAAGGCCATCATGGCCATGGAGGAATAAAACACATGCCTAGCTAACCCAGGCTAAATCTTACATGAAGGCCCAGGTCTATAATATCAAGCATAGCCAGATATAGCCATGATGTAGACTAGGTACCCCCACAACTATGAGGTCCGACCCACGGGAGACGGGAGCGGGGCGACCCACGGGGCGGATGTCGGATCCCACAGAATTTGTCAGTTTGTACCGTAAGCATGGTCAGATGGTAAGGCTAAAATCACTTTGCATCACTATCGGGAACCCCTAAAGACGACCTTTTGACACGGTTATTCACCTGACGGGGGGAAGACATTAAACATGCACCAACATGAACGAATATGCCGAAATGACGACTGAGTTGCTTTAGGATCCACCATGGCCATACGCCACGTCTACACACACGACATGATAACATGCTAGGCCTATGTGCGGACCTCTCTAGCTCAGTGCTAGTACTGAAGTAGAGAAAAATCTTATTTCTAAACTTACAATAGTGGATGCTGCTTTCCGGTAAATCCGTCCTGTAATTACAATTTATGCCGATTTCTCTCCAGTGTGTTAGTTTTTCCCAATCCACAGTGGAGAAAAATTAACCAAGAACTCGTAAATATGTCGCAGAGAAACTTCCTGACGTGTGTCACTGCGCCAGCATAACTCGACACGTAGCATGCTAGACTCGCTGCGCACGTACGCGTTACACTTGTGCTTGTTCGTACGTGGCACAGATATCGGTCCGCCTGGATTATGTCAAAGAGTAGCCGATTGGATGAACGCTGCACAGCTCCACGTTTAAGCGAATCAGCGATGCTGTTCCATCATCAAATGCAGAAGAAAGACATGTTTTTTCTCTGTGATTAAATCACAGGCTATGATTAAATCTATACCTTTTTAGTGCCAGGTGAATAAAATATTTCCCCTCTAAACAGACGTTTTCTGAACATGAGTTTTTCGGGTGAGGCAAACTCCGACGACCCAAATTATCAGTAAAGGTCAGAGTTGCAAGATAGTTGTGTGGGCAAGTTAACTCCCGTGTAAGGCTAAAAAAGGGACACTTGACAGCCGACAAAAATTGTATGGCTGTGGGCTATACGACTTTACCAATTGACTCTCGTAGCCAAAAGCCATAGCCGTAGACGACAGTGTCAGTTTAGGATACGGCCTAAGGTATGTAAATCCTATCACCCCCCCCCCCAAAAGACACACACAGTTTTCGTGGTGAGAAAAGGCAGAGGCATTTTCCAAACTTCGCGACAACCAAAATGTAATCCAAAATACTAAAAAAGGAGACAAATTACAAACTTTGAAACGCTGTCTTAATGTACATGTAAGACCCACATGAACAGCGCCCCCTATGGGGGTGTATTTTGTATGTCACCCCTCATCATTCCCTGCCAGTCTCCAACACAAATTTAAGCCACTACCTGGGCTCCTTATTCAAAGGCGATGACTGTCGGTGATTGAAAAAATAAAAGTGAATAATGTAAGTTATACTTTCATTCGACAACTAGCATATTAGACGCCATTACGTGACGCTCTTGGACAGCCGGGTCACGGCCGGGTATGTGCGCGTTGCATGTATCTAGCTCTTCGACAAAATAAATAGGGGTAAGTTCGAGCGACGACTATGTTGACTCATGGAGAAATTTCTCCATGGTTGACTGTTGTTTGACAACCTCCCGAACGACGGTTTAGTCGACCATTTGGGACCAGGCGCGCGCTCCGGGGCGCGGGCATGGTCGCACAGCCAATTCTTGTCCTTCCTCCATGGTTATCCATAGCCAAATTCATTTATCATTACAGAGGGAACCATTCACATGAAAATAATTGTACCAGATTTCAAGACCATGTACGCTGCGACAATCGCAGCCAACACAATATGAGTAATGATGAGATTTTACAAACCAGAAACAGTTCGAGTGTTTTTCGATGGTATCTGAATTGCGCGGCACATCGCAGTGTTAGAAAGCAACTCAGGCCTAACTGCACGACTACCAGTACCGGTCGAACTATGCTCTTGGGTGATTTGCCAAATATACGCGTGCGACAAGCACAAGCCTTTTGTCCAAGGATGTGCGCGAGTCTAATCTGAACAGTACATTTGAAGCAAGACATGGGATGGAGAGCACCCCCTCACCTTGGTGTTCGTCGTTGTTTGATTGGAATCTCAGGAATTCTTTTCAGACATGGGGGGGGTGTCAGGTAGCAATAGTCGATGTGCATTGGACATGCACAGGGGGTATATACCCCTCTGTCCCATATCTTGCCAGGTATAGAATAGTTTATAAAGGTGCTCTTGAAGTCGTCTTCTGGACCATCCTTTTGTAACCCACACTGCCGATGCAGCCAAGGGCAGATCCAGAACCGACTGGGGCCACGCCCCCGCACAAGGAGCAAAGGTGATTTACGTTTTTCATTTCCGTTTGCAAAAAGGCGCACAGAAGACGCCACAATATATACAATATATAGCTCCACCCCTGGGAAAGGTGATAACAAGTCACATAGACAATTTCCCAATGCTTGTTCCCACTCAAAACAAACCAACTTATTTGCCCCCCCCATCCGCCTGTGTCTACGTCACGCGCGTAAGCTTACCTTTCTTACCGTGTTTCCAGATATCAAATAGGATGGTGCCAGACTGTTAGGGGTTCCACGTCTCACTTCATCTCTTTTTTGACGCGGCTTAATACATTTATATATATTATTATCATTTACAAATAATTTGAAATTCTCCATCAACATAAATGATACCAACTTGTGACCAAGATTTAGATGTCAGTGCTTTCATGTTTATCTTTAGATTTCAAAATACATTTAAAAGTGTTAACCTCGCTTTCAAATTCAGTTATGACCAACTTGTGAACGAGACCAATTCGCACGTTACCCACACATGTAAACGAGAAACAAACCGCTAAAAACAAAACCAGATAACATTGCATCGATGAAGCTATGTAATCCTCAAAGGATTGTGATGTTGTCATCTTTGTCTTCTAATGGTCTGTCAGACAAAAAAGAAGAGCTCCTTTAACACAATAGTTTGAGCAGGCCAGTCGTTTCTTGACAATCCTGGCCATATCTATGGGGAGTCAGGTTGGCATCATGGGGAGTCATCAGGTCGGCGTAGAGGTTCTTTCCTCGCCTTCCACCTCTGCGGCCCGGGTTCGAATCCTGGCCCGGTCCTCATGTGGATTGGGTTTTACCCAGAATATTCCTTTGGGGTTTTTCTTCTCACCTCTAAATCTGTAACTGCTTCTTACTATCCCTTCTCTACAGGTTTCTTCAGGCTTGCAAGCTACAGTGCCTAGGGCGCTTTTGAGCAGTCCTTGGTGTAATTACCAGAAATAATTATATAATAATATCTCGTTTGGCCCCACCCCGGGCTCGATTTTTCCCCCCCAAACGGTATCGGTTTCCTGCCGTGCATTGGTCTGTTACATGCAAATTTAATATATTGTTCTCGACCTCACAAACGTATGGTGAGGATTTCCTTTCTCACTCCCAACCAATCCATATACACACTGGCTGCCAGCTCCTGTGAATTTAAAAACCACTCCTTAAAAATTAAAACCATGCACAGAATTATGAATAACGCATAAGCACAGAGGGCGCCCTCTTTCGAGACTGTTGGATCGCGTCTGGAAAAAATACCCCCCCCCCACCGGGGCCCCTCTCAATGTTGGGTTTCATCATGGAGGGGTTTCATATTGCGCGGTCAACATTGACTGGGGAGTTAAGAGACCTTGGGAGGGTAAACTGTGGCTTTTGCCACGTGTACCAACAATTTTGGCCAAGATTGTAGCTTGAAGTGGGCACGTTCGAGCATGGTTCGAGTTGAACTGATCGCTCTGTTGTAGGACTTCCAGGATAGCACAGATTAACGTGAACTCTATATCGAAGACTTCTTGTTGACAGTGTCATAAGTTTTGATGAGTCATATGAATGTAAGAATGTTCACCTTAGAAACTTCCTACCAAGTAGGGCCAAGAATCTTAAATTGATCACAGTGGATACGGAAGTCATTACCACGTGACCATTCTAATGTTTGCATCCGTACGAAACGAAAGTCATTGTATCTATTTTTTCCAGTCGAAAGATGTCGAACAAGGATCAGCAATGTAAAAACATAATGCAATGTTGTGAAAAGAACCCCTTTTATAATGTCAGAACTTTTTTGTTTTTCAGTTTCAAACGTTTTATAATATTTACCAGACGATGTTTTATTTCAAATACCACTTTGTCATAATATCAACACTGTGAAAAGAGTAATAAGAGGCCGACCAGACGAGGATTTTTTTTCTTATAATCAAAACCATGTTCTAATGAGAAGGAGACTGGAAATTCCTGTGTACACAAAAACAAAAGAATCCAAGAGATACGGACCCTCAAACTTTGCTCTTATAGAAACTGTTGCAACAGTGCTCGTTACTATCGTGAGTTGACAAGAAAGAATACGGTCGATATTTTTCTATTCTTTTAATTGAGTTTTTTAATTGATGGAATCAGTAAAATTTTTACCCCAAAAAATTACCAAGGTTCCCATCCACCGAGGCCAAAGGCCGAAACATTTTGAAACTGTAGTTTTTCACGTTTTCTACATGTTTTCGAAAAAGTACTTTTGCCCACGGGTATTCGTCTCAACTTGTCCCTTTTTACCTTGTCGATGAACGGAATCAGGTTGCAGAATATGCCCGGGTCGTAGGATTCGTGCATTACCTGGTTAACACCCACATTGCCCTTATATTGCCATTTCAAATACTCCACATACAGTTCGGGTTTGGAGTCCAACAGCTTTATATAGTCGACCAATTCCTTCATGCTTTTGTAATCGCCGATGTAAATGAAGGAATTGGGAGGAAGCAGGTCCTCGTAGACTTTCCTTGTGGGACCGTAGACGATAGGGACCACCCCTTGTGTCAACGGCTTGTTCCAGAGTTTCTCCGTGATGTAGTCCTCGCACTCGGCATTCTCCAAGGAGAGATAGAACTTGTATTGGCGCACCAAGTCGACGGTACATTTTGTGTCCCAACTTGGTGTGCACTTCAGTTTTCCACAAGCCCCATACACGTCCACTTGAATGTACTTTTGCATTTCTCTCACGAAACCACTCCTGGGCCAGACAGTATTTTTGCAATTACTCGCCATCCAGGCAATGAGTTTGGTTTTTCCCTGTAGCCATTCGTCCATCGATTTTGTTTCCCTTGCCATGGGCGTGCTTTTAGGGTCGTAGTACCCGTAAGGGAGGGTGAGATCGGACCCTCGGTAATACGTCCAGACGACGTGGACCGGTAACTTGGCGATGTTCCCGCCCTCGTGAGCGTTGGACCAAGGCGACTCCCAGGAGAAGTACACCCACGTCTGGTTGGGGTTCATGCCCGCTGGGGGGTGGGGCCTCGGGATGAGATTCTTCATGAAGTGGAAGACGACAGCATCCATGCCAGCGAACTTGTTCTCATCCCCGGCAATTGTGAGCTCAACGATGCAGTCGTTGCTACACGAGACATTGGCTCTGACGTCCGCCTTCCCGTGAGATTGCTCCACGATGGTTTTGAGGGCTGGTCTGTGCTTGGTGAGTATTTCCCCTCTGTTGTACACCTGGATCCTGTAAAAACATGGGCCCGAGTGCGTTGCCCCATTCGTCACTTCTATCTTCCTGGGCTTTTCGACAAGAGCGCGTGGCACCAGTGTTTCGCTGTGAGAGTTCTCGTCACGTTCCAAACGGTGAGGCCGCCCTTCTACATGACTGACATTGCTTTGCGAAAGGCTTTGAGGGGACGTATTCGTTCTTGAGTTTCTTGAGTGGATCCTTGGAACGAACCGCAGTAGAAGATATACATGCGCAATGACTGCAGTAGATATAATTAGTAGAAATGCCCATTTCTGGAAAAAAAACCAAAAAATAGCAACAGCTCTTATTTTAGGTTGACGGAAAAGGAGGCCCAGTTGAACGACGTGCCTCATATGCATGCTCAGGACGCGGAAGTCGAGTTCGGGCGGCCTGTTCTTGACACGGGATTCGTGTTCTCGCGCTCGAACGACGGGAACACGACACAAGAACACTGTTCTCGGAGCAGGATCACACACCACCTCCTCGTCGGGGTTGCACAGAAACACACGAGAAAACTCGTGAGAGTTTGATTTTTGAACTGCAAAAAGTAGAGAGATGGCTTCCATAGCCAGAGATAATGGGAAGTTTTGCAAAATTAATATTATTCTCCATGACACAGAAATAAATGTTCCTGTATAAATAGAGAAGAATTCAGTCCATCCAAACATTAACTCTCGAATAACGTACATGGACACGACCGTGTTGCATGCTGCTTGCCACTAACTACCATGGAGCAATAACCAGTAGTTTGTTCCTGGCGTTCGAGCGGCCGACCCTCGTCACGAACAACAAATCGAGTTGTTCGAGAACATGAGGCTCTGGTAGTTACAACTGAGTTCACCCGAAGTACACGTACACGGTACACTTTCTGAGCATCACATGCATACTATGAAGCACGTCGTCCTACGTGGCCTCCTTTTCTGTCTACCCTTACTTCACGGCTCTGGTAGTTAACAGTGCATTGCGTATCTCTTCACAAAGTCGCGAATGTTCTCTAAGCTAAACCTTCGGGGTTTTCACATCCCATAGTAGATGAGTTCAACAACATACATAACGTACACCTTCCTTTGAGCCAGAAATGTGTATGAAATTATAAAGACACACAGTCACTATGATTTGTGTGCCACCGTGTCTTCAAATCAAGTTTATAGTTCTGATGACGAAAAATAACGCAAAGATTTGACTTTAATACCTCCACCAAAATCAGTTTGCAACAGCAAATTAATCTTTAAAGATAACCATCCAGCTAGCTGTGTTCAGATTTTAAAAGGACCTACTTTGCAAGATCACGTTGAAAAACAGTGCAGTGATTACCGTATTTCTGTTGACACTGTTATTTCTGGCGTACCCTGTCAAGAAACGCTGCCTCTAAAGACTTTCCTTATAGGCCCCCTTCCATTAATCTTCAGATCAATAATTATCTGTTGTTTATTTTGTCTAAGCAATCTAATATTCAAAATGATGATTGTCTAATTTCTATTTCTCTTGATTGAAAATGCCGTTGACGGACAGAAAGTGCTCCTATCTCCACTTACCAGAAAATTGAGATTCAAACTCAGGCACATGCAGGACAAGATAAAGAAAGGTAAAGGAGGTCGTGCCTATGCAAAATCTTTGGACGAATGGAAGGTAACAAATTATGAACCAAGAGTGCCTCCCAAAACGGGAAGTCCCTGTAAGAGAATATTTCAAGAAGAAAGTGCTTCATGAACAGCAAGCCAGTAAAAGAGCTTGAAGAAAGTTGCATGAAACTCGTCAAAAAACATCTTCAGGCAGAAAGTAGGCAACAGGAATTGCAGCGGAACATTGACAGATTGTTGAGAAACAAACAGCGAAGGGGGAAAATCAAAAGTGTTCAAGAATTACGGGAGACCATTTCATTGAGTTCTCTCAGTCCGGTAATGGTAACAGTTGAGAACATCAATGGTGAACCTGTAGAAATTTCATTTAGTTTGAATGAATCATCTCAGAAGATGGGGGTTACCGGGAATGAACTGGATAACATTATGTATGTTACAGACAAATACAATATAAATAAAAGAGCTTACCGTATGGTGGCCGTGGAGGGTCATCTCCGATCGTCTGACGTGAATACTTGCGACCAAGTTTACGACCCGCTCTTCGATCACGAATATTGACGCCAACATTCACGACCAAAATTCACGACTAGCTCTCTGGTCCCGAATATTGCCGTCAATTTTTGAGACCAAAATTCACGACTTGCTCTTCAGTCGCTAATACTGACGCCAATACTTGCTACCAAATTCACGACTCGTATATCCGGTCGTAATTATTGCCGCGATTTTTTTGCAGCTAGCCAGGTTAATTTTCTCAGAGAATTTTCTCGGCTATAGACACAGGGATTGCTTTTTAATGCTGTGCCCCTGCGTTGTGCCAAAACTGCCCAGCCGAATAATTATCGACTTGAGATCAAGCCGAAAAATGTAGGTCATTGAGCGTACACGTGAACACATTTCCGCCTAGCTTGCTGGAAAAAAAATCGCAGCAATATTTGAGATACGAGTCGTAAATTTGGTCGCAAATATTGACGTCAATATTTGCAACTGAAGAGCGAGTCGTGAATTTAGTCATGACGATTGGTAATGTCCCTCCACGGCCACCATACATCAGTGCTCTGCTCGTCGAAAAGAGCGTGTACTCCAGGAAAGAGAATGTGAACTCAACAGAGGTTGTAACCTTATGGAAATCAGTAACTGCAGAGGCGTTTGGCAATCGTTTAGTGAATGCTTAATCAGGTTGACACATGTGCGGACAATGAGAAGATTTTGTTGAATGACACCATAAGTATTGAGTTGAGTGGTGATGATACAAAATTTGGAAAACGGATGCACATTGTAAATATAACCTTCTATATAATAGAAGTGGGCTCCTGTGATGCAAATGGCCAGTATTTGTTGGCAGTGCTGAGACTTCCTGAAAAAATATGAGCCCCCTGAAAAATGCTGTCGAAGAGTTGATCTCCGATATACGCAGCGTGCAAACTGTTGTGGCAGCAGAAAAGGTGTACACACTTGAATTCTGTTTGGGAGGTGACCTCAAGTTTCTGAATCAAGTTATGGGGATTGACTCTTTTGGGAGTAAATACTCGTGTTTGTGGTTTAAATGCCCATCTGAGTTGCGATGGCACATAACAAAGAAATTGTCAATGATTAACCCAAGTGAGGGGGCACGAACCAATGCCGAAATAAGTCACTTGCGTGTTAAATTTGAATAAAATCTGGTAAGTGTTATATATCTGATTGCACAGAAATGTAACAATTTGAATTCCCTAGACTAAAGACACTGTTGCTAAACCTCGTGATTCGGGGCAAGCTTTTGCATAACTAACGCCATCTCTGGAATGGACTGCTTCCTTTATGCCCTTCTTATCCATTGAGAACAGTGTATTGTTGCAAGGCGTCTCTTATGTAACTAAGCAAAAGCTTGCTGCGAATCATGAGGTGTAGCAACGATAGGGTTATAGTATGGAGAATTCAAGTTGTTATGTTCACGTGAATTTAAAGAACTCTGTGTACCAGATTTTGGTCAAAGTTATTAACCTGCAGAAAATATTGCAGCCATCCTCTTCTGTTCACAAATGTTGAAGTTTCACATGTCATACCAGATACACTCAATCTGTTTTTGAGGCTTGCTGATCAGCTAATCAGTGTTGGAACTTGTTGCGTACATGAGACAACTTAACAAATACAGATAAACTCAGTTGTGTTCAGTTTTCAGAGAAGTGTAAACAAATGGCACAATCTGAACACTTTGTGCAGAGTTTGAAGATTGAATGCAATTTCTTTGTTGACAGAGACAAAAAGAAAATAAACAGATATTTCACTGGGCCACAGCGTGTGAAAAAAATTTCAGAAATTGACCTTGACAGTCTCATTCCCAAGAATCCTAACTTGGGACTCATCAAGGCACTCTGGAAGGATTTTCAGTACATAATGGAGCAGTTAACTAAAACCCTTCTCTCTAAATGAGATAGGCCTAGACCATTTGAGTTGTTCTGTTCAAACTGGGTTAAGACTTACGGAGAGGTGGATCAGTTGAAGGACGTTGCACCTTACACGTATATGCATGGGCTAATGAATCATATCCTGGAGGCACTACGAATCCACGGAAGCATTGCTAAATTTTCTCGGCAAAGCTTCGAAAAGCTGAATGATATTCAACCTGTTGGTTTTTCATATCCACAAATTATCGTGGAACCAGTGCTCTGAAGCAAATTATACAAAACAGCCCAGGATGAGACTCAGGAGTGTCAAAGGCATAATCGAAGTCCAGACAAACAGGGAACAACAAACGGCGGACCTGTTCATTACCTATAGTTTCTGAAAACTAACTCTCAGTACCAGCAAAATGGTACTCCACTGTTTCTGATTGTATAAAATTCAGTGTGTCAGCACTCCAGCATTCGTTTTAGACCAGTTAATGACTACTTAAGAAAGGCTGCTTGACAAACCAAAGTTGCAGTCGGAATTTGTGATTGTAATTAATTAATTCAAGAAGATATATAGCAGTGCATCGCAATGCTCTACATGTACTTTACATGATTTTACATAATTGAGAGTCATGAAAGCCTGCCATCAAAAGTATTATGAAATATATATTGATCGACTGTGTGTAAATGTATGTAAGTTATGTGTGTAATGGGAATTCCTAAAATGTTTTTCATTAAATTTGCGATTTTAAATATGGAGGAGAAATGGTCAACTTAAATTGTGCAAATATTGCCTGCCACATTCAAATTTCTTCCCAGCTGACGAAAAGAAGATGAACAATCAAAATGATGTGAACATTTTAAATAGTGTACGCATTGTGTTCAATTTCACGGGAGATAGATGCAAAATTGTGACAAGTAGCATTCTCGCAATAATAATTAGGCCTTTAGGTCGCGTCCTCTTACAAAGAATAATGTTTCAATAGCTGATCGAAAAGAGGTTCATTCGGAGCATTCGGTACATGCATACATTGCATTTGTTACCATACGCACGGTATACGGAGCAGCTTTTCATTAAGAGTGAACACAACTGGAGAGTTGTTTTCAAAGATTTTGGTGTTGCTGACCAAATCTGGTGGGAGTCTTAAAGTAAAATCTTTCCAAAGTGACCGTCGATATAACAAAACTAAACAAGTTTAACTCACAACTTCTTTCATGATGTCGGCAACGTTCCCTGGGGCACAGCTTCAGACTCGAAAAACGCGGCACAGCCTATGAAAAAATTGATGTGCGGAAATCAAGGAAGTGATTAAAGGATCCATGAAACGAATATTTCTTCGAAGCACTTTTGTGTACCTCTGCTCCCTTCTTCAGTGTATGAAGACTGTTTGACATTTTTCGCTTTTTTGTGTTAAGTAAACTGGAAAGTGCACTTTTTAAACATTCAAAATTGACCAAGCATTTTTGGATAAGTGAGGGCGCTTTTGCTTTGATGTTGTTTACAACCAGGAACACATAGTTCAATTTGCATGTTTTCATGTTCAAATCGTTATTTCAAATTTGCTATTTGAAAATTTCTGTGGAAAGGTTTTCTGGCTTATTGCCATATACTTACACAACAAAAAACTGCCAAAGGAAATGAAATCTACGATAGTAGTGTTTTTAAAAATCTAGAAATTTTCTGTGCACAAATCAGTGTATCATTGAAGTTCAGTGCCTTGGATGACATCACAGTTTTGCTTATAAATATGTAAATGTCGTTAGCATTTAACCAAAAAAACGCTCCAAAATATGGGTTAAAATTGCACAACAAAATTTTCATATAAGATTAAGTGAAACCCAAAGGTGCAATTTCAAGGGTCTTTGTAAAATATTTCTATTTCATGGTGCCTTTCACCCTAACCGCCAAGCATATTGTTTGGCTTTCAGTACTCAGTACTGCAAAATACTAAATAATGGCCCGAGCCTGAAGGACCTAGCGCTACATATTACTACTTCTGGCTAGATTTCTTCCATTGTTACTCATACAGAGAGTAGTCGCCAGGTTCCTTATTTCGCCACTAAACAGTTACCAATCGGACTCAAGTTGACAACAGGTGGCGAAATTTGGAACCTGGCGACTGTACGGTCACACACGTTAAACGTGAAGGTCAATCATCGCATATCTCCAAAATTGACAACACATAATGGCGTTGGGTAACTACTGTACATGTGTCCCGGCTACGTGCTTTCATGGCAATACAAGAATTTACAAGATGAACATCAGGATGAGTATCTGGTTAATCGATGATGACGTAGACCTACATGTACTTGCATACTCACCGGGCAGAAGTGCGTTTTTTCCCACAGCAACTTTTAATCTAGGCGCACTCACGATGCTGCCATGTCTTCCGCTCGTATTGCTCTTTTGAGGCGGGTTCTGGACTTTTGGACCGCTCCAGTCAGTGGCAGTACGGGAGTCCAAGGCGGGGACATTTTTCTATGTTTAACATGACAAAAGATCTGCCTGATGACCATTGTGAATCAAGACGATACAATGGGTCGCCTCGGTCCAGGTTACGTAAGACAGCCACAGAATATGCTTCGCTTCGAACTGCAATTGTGCACACTACATTGTACTGTGTTCCATCAATTGGAATGGTGGTGTTCGTGGGCGTGGACGGAAGGGGGAGCTCTTTCTAGGGGGAGTACTCATCATGACAGGAATTAAGCAGATAAAAGGACTTAATCATCAGCATTGAAAGAAGAGTTAGTTCTAAACATCTTTCGAGCGTAGTTTTTTTACCCAGTCATCAGGAAGTTCTCGACCAAGACATCATCTTCAATTGAGCTTGGATGTTCAAATCCAACCCTTTATAGTTTGACCACCAAACGACGGAAACACAATTTTCTGCAAGTCTAAATTGCATGACTTTAAATCTTACACATGAATTTAATTGAAATGTCCAGTTTGACGACGTCACATAATTTTCGATACCTGTTACCTGAACGTGTGCTATCGGAAAGTATAAAATTGCATTATTTGTTTCAAGTAATATTTCGTATACTGATGAACAAAAGGTTAGAAGACGTCATAATAGTACCTTTGAAACTTCAACAAATATTTTTTAGTTCCTACTTTGGTAAAAATGGGGCAAATGTGGGATTTCCTGTCCCTCCCCCGTCTCCTGTACTTCTAACATACACACAAAATGCAACTAAAAAGCAAATCATTAGTTATTGTTATTATTAGTATTTGGTTTATTACATTCTCGTAGCCTAGAGGCCAAATTGCAGGAATTTTACAATATTACAGATTTTTAGAAAACATTACAAATACATACAAATAGGAATAAAATCGTAACAGGACCAAGATTAAGTTCTAATTACTTGGGAAACTGATCTGTACATGAGCATTTAATTCGACTTCGCAATCTGTCAATTTGTTGGAAGCTGCAGTAATTGTCTTCTCTGTGACACGTCATCCGTGTAGCGAACATTCCGTTGTGTTCGTCTAGCGCCCCCTAAAAGTTGGAGAAAGGGCGGGGCGAGTTTTGGTCGTCGCTCAGGCGCTAGAAGGGCTGATGGCTTTGCAGTGTGGCGTGCGACTGCGAGGTTATCACTTCCTGTTAAAAGGGAGCGTTATTTAAATTTTTGGGTTCGCCAATGGCAATGCTTTTGGCACGGGCAAAGTGTCGGCTACATGATAAAAACACGACCTTGGGCCGTTTATCTTCTCACTACGTATCATATCACTGATCACGTCTTTTGACGGAATATTTTCAAATAATTGGTTACCTAGCTTGATCACTTTTGGATGAACGAATAAGGTGTAGTGATAATATTTTCAACAATGAGGAAGGAAAAAGGATATCGCATTGATAACCATCGCTTGTGCAACGCATTGAGCAACAAATCAAACCAGATACATGTATATCAGAAAAAAGCTGAAGTAGAATCGAAATAGAAATTAAAAAAAATATATACGAACTACTCCTAAGATAAACATAACTAATGACATATAGACCTGAAAAAATGCTGGGAATAATTATTTCGGTCTGCACTTTACAAACATAACTTTACCAAAAGACAGCAAAAAGTGTAATAAAAATGGATACAGAAGTTAAGTTGTCTTGAGCGGTTGAGAACCGTCGGTACACCCATGGGCGTAAATACCGGGATGATATGGTATTATATTCCCCCACTTTTAGAGGGGAGGGGCTATTGAATTAATCCCCTACTTTTTGTGATGAGCAAAAACATTGAAGGGGATTGTGAAGAGTTTTCAGGATTTTTCAACGACTAAAATGTTTGAAATGTCACTAAAAAGAAAAAATTGAAAAGCCATAAATATGCCATTCTGGTGTAAGAATCTACATGAATTTGATACACATTACAGATGATGCATCTTCATCATGAACATCGCCCCTTGGTAAAGTGTTATATGGTGTCTCTCCCACCCACCCCCGCCTTTCAAATTTATATGGCCGGGCAATCCCTCACCCCCNCCCCTTGGTAAAGTGTTATATGGTTTCTCTCCCACCCACCCCCGCCTTTCAAATTTATATGGCCGGGCAATCCCCCCCCCCCCGATTTACGCCACTGATACACCCGGAGTACGGACACGGGCTTTTTGGCAAAAAGCCCGTCTCCGTACTCCGACTTGATTTCAAAATTCGCGCCTCCCTGTGATCATGGTCAAGCCTCAGCTTTGGAGCATAGATAACGTCTTGTGTTGAGACTACACACGACGTCATTGCCAGGCATTAATTTTCACAAACTTGACAAAGCAAGATGTCAGCGTCCATTGATAGTGCACATGTGCCGTGCAGCAGGTATGTAAACAAGCATTTGGTGTGTTTATTTTGTCATTGTTGAAGCCACAGAGAAATAAAATTGTCCTATGATATCAAGTGAGTGGGTCTTCTTATCCATCGTGCACTGAGGATTTGTTTAATATTCGTTGATACGTGATCGGTGTACGATATCAAAATTGTACACTGTCTGTAGCGTGCAGGCCCTGGCCTGAAGTACTTCGAGCATGTCGATGGTGTACGTGTATGTAGGCCTACACATCCGGCCACCACCTCAGATCTAAGAATGTGTATAACGTATGTCTAACGTAAAGTATTTTCAAACGATGTAATGTCAACATGGTCAAAGAAAATTGGAATTGTTTTGAGTGATTCACTTCTAAAAATAGTAAATTAGTGTTTGTCTGTTGGAGGTGATCAGTCGATCTGAGCATGGGTGATCAACTCAGTCTTGGCTTGCCAATAACTCCACCTGCTCAATTGCAGAATACCCCGCCACCCTGCATGATCAACCTCATAGCCAGGCACAAGTCAAAGTGTCGCACTCTTCAAAGGGATTTTCACCTTGTACCCACGTAACCAGTCATTCTAGGGGGCGTTTTTTAGAGTGGTGGGGTCTTCTACAATTACTCCGGATTGACCATTGTCAATTGAACCCAATTGCACATTCAAGCTGAGCGCTGATAGATTTATCACATTCAGTGCTCCTTCAAGAAATTTTCACTTCTTGATAGTTGTCAAGTCACAATAGCTACCCGTAGCTAGCCCTTACAGTCCCAAATCCTCCAATTTCAATTTGATTTTACATAAACTCTCGGGGTTAGGGTATTAAAGAAAGATCTGTGGCCAGGTACGTGTACACGTACAAATACAGAACTCTTTCTAATCTAAGCAAGGCTTTGCAGTCATGCTGTTTAGCGTCAACACACACAAGTAACGTCAACAAAGCATCAACAACTTGAATATACCCTCTACGGATTTAAAAGTGGTTTTATTGTATTTTAGAGACTCCAACAATTGCCCCTCTATAAGAGAAACACCAAATTTGCTTCCAGATAAATTGGCAGATTCTTGCTGGAAAACGAAAATTTTCTGTGATGTATTGGGGCCGCCATCTTTCTATCCTCTGCCATCCACGTGAAAACAACATGGTGGCCGGTTGGACTGCACAAAGAGGCGCGACTTTGTCACTCAAATTTCAACATTAAAATATCATTTCAGATAGATATAATATATTGAATTTGATATGTAGGATCTTAATTAACATTTTATGTAAAAAAAATTGCATAAATATGCTTGAATAACTTGTTGATGCTTTGTTGCGCTCGTTGACGCTAAATAGCATGACCCAGGCTTTTTCCACCTGTAAAAAGGCAGAACGTTCCACATTTAGGAATTTCTGTACATGTACGCTTGTGTACCTGTATGCAAAATGTCCAAATTCTACTGTTAGTGTGAGTTAAACTTATGGCCTTGCTAGCGCCAATGTGTAAGGTTTTATTCCTCCCAGACATGCTGAGAGACCTGAGGGAAGTTGATACACATGTAAGGCCTTCAGTATATCACATTGCTTGTGGGGTCCGTCTTGGTTTGATACCACGCCCCCTTTTGTATTCTTTCTTCCTTTTTTTTCAGTCACGTCAGATGACTTTCTTTTTTTGGTAGATGTATTTTTTGGGAATATTGATGGGAAATACACCTACTGTAGGCCTGTAGTCAAGAAAATGACCTGCATCCATTTGTAACTGACTGGTCTGGTTACTGTTTCCAGTGCTTTAAACTATTACAGTAGAACCAGACGGCAACCAGTGTGAAGTGCCATTCGTGCATTACTACACTGTACATGTACAGTGTACATGTAGCCACTCTGAATAAATTAATTGGAAATTGACACTGGTTTGAGACGACCGGTACATGTGTGATGTACATATACATTGTAATTTATTGAACCGTCTTGTAGAAACCTCTGGCAAACTCATGCAGAAAATATGTGGTGTTCTTGCTTTTCAAAGAGATTGTCCAATTTGTAAAATATTGACCCCTCTCACAGACAGCCATCTTCGTAGGAAAATTACAACTGTGTGTGTATATCTACACGTGCATGGATTGTGTAAAATACTCAACACACATATACAGTGTATGTACATGTAGTACACATCGCTCAAAGTTTCTTCAATATTGTGCCTTGTGAAAATTTGAAGCCAAAAACATTGATGCACTTGGCAATGAAGTGAAGTCATTTGAGAGAGGTTTGTAATTCAGTTCTTGTGGTAGTTTAGCGGCTTTTCTACACATTTTGTAGCTATACATACTTGTAATAAATGAAGTTCAGTGTTTGTCTGTTTGTAAAAAGATTATTTTTGCGCCTGTGAGTTTGTTTACATGTAATTTGGCTGTAAAGGAAGAATACTAGCATGCACCCAGTACACATGGCACAGGTCACAGAAGAACCAGACAGAAGAACTTGCAGGGACCTATGAGGGAATACAGCGCAGCTTCATATTTCAGCAGATCAAGAAAAAATCAGAAAAAAAGCAGTTCTAGCAACATTCTCAGGGCCAAAGTGTCAAACTCGTCACACTGGTCCTGAATAAATTTGATGTACTGTATAATACAGAAATGTGTTCATTTTTTTTGTTCGTTTTGGTGAGTACTGATAGATACATGTATTACACACTTAACCAAGTGGACATTTACAGACTGTACATATTAGGATATGGCAACTGACGGTCAGCTGAAAATGTGCATTATGTAACAAAAGAATTTGTGAGAATTTCTATGCATTATCAGTGAATGAATCGTTGTACACATGTAGGCCTACGCGTACACATGTACCGGTACTACAACTAAATGAGTGCAACACGTGTTGCTAAATTGGGAACTGTACTGTATCCTACATGAAGCATGACATGAAGTTGACAGGTACATGCGCAGTTATGCCGACGCTGCGTACGTACAGTACTTGTATAGTACAGGTACATCAGGTAGCAACACTGAGCTTGAAGCAGGAAATTTGCCGCCCTGAAGTACAGTACATTCAGAGGTCAGGACACCAAGCCCGGTAATTTATTCCCTGATTGATTTTTCTCTCAGCTTGCGCTGATGCCTGCCGGGCTGGTCACTGTGCCCTGTCGGTACACATGTATGCTAATCACGACACCCTTGCCGGCTGCCGACTGCACGGGCTTGATGACTCCACAAATCACTCTAGCCTCACAATCGCCGAATGTTGGCTGCTCGACCACACAGTTTGCTCCCAGCTGTCTCTGCACATACATTACATGTACATGTAGGGCACATGTGAGTACTGTGGAATGTCTTTATTTAATGTCTCCATGTTCGATTTGTTGGGTATTTATTTGATTGATTTGTTGTGGAATTCAATTAGCAAATTGAATTAAAATGGTTCTGATTTCCAATGGCACCTTGTACATGTTTTTTTCCTCGTTTTCTAATATTACCGATGATATTGCAAGGTATGCACCTGTTATTAAAACCCTCCTATGCAAAGATTCTAGACACAGTTGTTATATTAGTCAAAATCAGTCAAATTTTCCGTATATGTGTCTGCCCCACAGTAAATTGTTGCGTACATGTTGGTGGTGTACCGTGTTCTTTCACACTTCCACTCCAGTTGCTGTACATGTTTATCGCCGTTAATCTTTGTACATCAAAAACTATGGTCAGTAGGCCTACATGAGTACTTGTCAGCTTGTTGATTAGAATTTATTGTGTGTTTTGGCAGCATTTTCTTTAAAAGTTGTAATTGATCCATTGCTGTAGCATGGTACAGCATTAGGCTGTCCATACATACTGCATTAATTTTATGGTTCTGATTTCCAATGGCACCTTGTACGTGGCTCCAACTGAGGATGGAAACCCTTTTTTTATGCCTTTGACTCTGTCTTATACATATGAAGCAAACTATAGCACAGAGAGAACCACCCCCCTGCCTTTGTGTTGGTCATTGTTGTACTGGTATCTCAGGAATTCTTTTCAGACATCTAGGGGGGGATTTGTTAAGTGACAATAGGATGGAGTGTGTTTAGGGATTGGACTTGTTGGGGGTCCTTCTCTGTCCCATACTGTCTAGACTCCAATCAAGGAAAATCTTTTAAATGCTGCCAACCCTGCCTGGAATTTCTTACTAAGAGAAAAAATGAAATTTTAAGCATTTTAAGGGAAAGTACTGTAAGTTTTAGCCACTTTTCCTCCAACTGCCTGTCCCACAGTAGGGAAAAAAAAATGAGAACCATAAAATTAACTACCGGTATGAGCAGCCTTTTCTACATATATCTGTACTGTTTGTCATGTTTATGTTACAAGATGTACCGGTATCATTCTAGCAATTACCATATCAACCAATGGGCTGTAAGATGACTCCCATATTTCAAGAAACAATTTCTTTTCCAAATCAATCATAAAATACACATGGAAAAATAATGATTAAAGGAAGAAACTTGAAACCTGTAACCAGATACAAGAAAAATATGCATTCCCACATAAAGTCAGGAGATGACTCACCTGCTAGCTGCTTTTTTTCTTTCTCAAACGTGTATTGAAGCTGCAGTACGTGCATTTGGGTGCTGAGAAGAAAGCTTTTGATAACTTGCTTAAGTCAGAGTAATATGAATTGAATGATTTACAAGCCTGAAACCATCTTACTATCAGGCTTCTATGGGAGGTACATGTATTTAATTTTCTATGAACTTAAAATAATTACAATCCAACGTGTTGAATAGCATCTATACATGTAGGTCTAGTCTGTATACCTTTGAGCATGGTGTTGAATTTTAGTTTAATGTTAATGGAAGTCAACAGAAGCCTGAAAACCGGCGCGAGCCTGATAATGGATAGTGATAGCTGTTTACATTTAAACAGCCGCGCAAAGTGTGGAGAGTAAGGAGGGGAACCCGTTGCGTGAGTAGATGTTATGCGTGCCAGATGCCTGTACGTGCTCGCTCATTTAACATCTTCCCAATTCCCGTAAAAGCCAGCATGCGGGGTACCGGTAGCTTGTTCGTGATCCTCTGCACACATTGCGAAATACCCAATTTCCGGGATGCAAAGTGAAATTGGCCACCTGTACTTGATCAGCCAAACATAAGAAGAGCGATGATAATATAAAGTCACATTAATAACAAGGACCTATTTATGTCCCAAATCTTTGTTTTTTTCCTTGTTTTCTAATATTACCGATGATATTGCAAGGTATGCACCTGTTATTAAAACCCTCCTATGCAAAGATTTTAGACACAGTTGTCATATCAGTCAAAATCAGTCAAATTTTCTATATGTCTTTGTTCTGAGGCAAATCAAGTGGAAGGAATTTTTAGCTGTTTTTGACAGTTACAGCAGGTTTGTAAAGACCCAAGGATCTTGTTATAACAGTGTTCCACTGTACATGGCACTCGCAAGTATGTGTAAAACATGTGCATAATAAAAATTGCCTATGCCTCAAAGTTTGTCAAGCCAGGAAAAGAAAATATTTGTCTTGCCATAATTAACACAAACTCTCCATTATTAATGGAAAAAAAATCTTAGGTCCCTTAGGTTGTACCAGACATTTGCAACAAATACATACACTTACAGTACATAATAACTGGCAGTGTCTTTATTCTAGGATTCCTTCAGAATTGAAGCATTTTGAAAGTGTATCCTGAATTGAACGGGTTTCTATTTGTGACGTAGCAGTTCAAAAAATCATTCTGCTCCTCTTCAGAAAGTTAAACAAAAGTTGTTCATGAAGCAAACATTTTGCAAAGAAAGCTTTTTTTTTTATAACTGTACAAAATATAAAAGGAAAGCAAGAGTTAAGGGCAGGCCATGCAGTACCAGTGTATAATGCCGTCCTTGTAAAATGTAAATGCACCTACCAGTACCTGCCAATTTTCATTTTGCCATTGGTAATGAACTGTTCGTGGCGTTGGGGTTTCCTATTAATGCAAAGTTGCGTCTTCATCACAAAAAGTGTGATGTCATTTCAGGAAGAGTCCTCAGTATCACATGTACCTGGTAGCATGTATCCTCCCTGAATTATGTAATAATTTTTTGGGGGGTAATTTCCTGATATTTTTTATTTTCTTTCTCTTTGATCTATCATTGTTCTTTTAGTTCACAAATATCTAGGGAAGTAAGCAAAGTGTCTTCACAATATTTTCAGAGAGCAAAATTTAAGTTCACACTTTAAGAAAGGAAAAACACGCACGCCTTCCTGCAATGACAACACATCAACTACCTGCAACGGCAACCTCTTTTGTTAGGAAAAGCAATGAAAACTTTTAGTTTTAAAAAAGACTGCAGTTTGCAACAATCTTATTGCAACCAGAAAGCGACATCAAGTTTCATATTGTGAGCAGAATGCGTATGTGTAATATGTACTGTATGTGTACATTTCTATCTTATGGGGCCCTTTAAGGTGATCGATGCTCAACAGATGCGGACTTCAGCCTCTTTCCTGCCTGCTCTGTCTGTGTGCATTCACTGTGACTCAGACCTCTCATTATTATAAGTTAAGCATCCATGTACATGGGCAGTGCGTTTTTTATGGAATTTCTTTATTGTTTACATTATGGGCACATTGTTTACATGTACATACATGTATGCATACTGGTACATGAATTTCCCCCAGGGAGGAAAGTCACAATGCATTTTCAGTTGTCCGGTTGACTGAATCAGGATCGGCATTTCTGCTGAAGGTGTTCGCCGACAGCTTCAGATTCTTTACTCACTCTTCACCTTGTTTGTCACTTTTTGGCACACACTCACTCGTATGCAGTACATGTATGTTGCATGGTTTGTCAGCAAATGGAGCTGCTCTCTGAGATGTAAGCAAAGGAGGGGTGCATTTGGACATTTGGAGGCTTCTGTAGACATCGAGCCGTCATCCTCCTAGGGATGTGCAGAAACAGTGCTGTCAACATCTGTGTTTGGCCTGGTTCAGTCAGTGGAATTCCGTTGCCAAACATTTTTCAGTTGACATTAAATTTAGCCAATTAGTAAAGTGTGAATTGTTAATGTTTCTGTTTTTCAAATCTGGGAAATCATACGTGAGGAATTCCAACCGAATTTTAAAAACATTTGACTTCTTCTCAGACAACAAATTTCCTTGTTTTTACTCCACACACGTGCCTTTACATTGGAAAAATTTACATGGCCTACAAAATCTTCTGCAGATAGGTATTCACAATTTTTTTTCTGACTCCCCAGTTGCATGCCTAAATTCAGAGTCAAAAACTGCCTGTACTTTCCAGTGATCTCTGAAATAAATTGAGTGTACATGTATGCCTATGCAGTATGTAATAGGCATACACATGTACATGTATGACGAGAACTCACAAAATCCAAGAGAATCCATCGATCACACAACAACCAAGCAATCTGTCTTTCTATTCTTTTTGCACTTCGAGTGTAGTACATGTATGAGAGTTGTGGAAAGGAAGATTTGTCATTTATTATTAATCCCTGGAGACAATGTCCTGCATCACACTCTGGAGAGAGACAGCTGTTGACTTGATTGGTGGTTGCTATTACCCCTACACTCACCAAGGTAAATGTCCTGTGCAGGTGCTGACTACAAATTTGTACAAGCAATGCTCCTTTGTAAGGCCAGTCTAATCAAGTACCGGTTATTGAATTCTCAAATATTTGGACTGTCCATTTGATTTAATATTTGATTATTTGGTTTTACCAAATAGCGAAAAAGCAGAAGCAAAATTCATGTCGTTATAAATAGTGAATACTGAAAAACTTGGAGGAAGAATCATTTGGGGGCTGATTGTGGGCATGTGCATTAAGCATTTACAGTTTAACTTGCAGTATATTAAAGCGCCCATATACTTTCAGCGTGCAGTTTTGGAACCAAATCATTGAATTTGGTTCATTTTTATGTCCAACATTTTCAGCTACAAATGCTTGATTTTGAAAATAAAGAATGGAACATTTAGCGATCCAATATACAAATATTCAAATAATTGGCACAGCTCTAACTCTTGTTTCACAGCAGATGGTAGTATTTATGTAAAAATAATTTGGCAAATACTCATCAGTCCTCCACTTGGGTGCCATTTCATTACCTGCAACTTTTTGTCACAAGACATTGCTGCATTCTTCCGTAACCTTTTTGATTTCACACAGTTGGTCACCCTCACTTTTCAAACACTGTAAGTGATCTTTCAATCCCAGGTAGTGTCGCCCGCTCTGCGGGCCTTCATCATGTCAAGGAATTGCCTCCAATCACACAGTTAATGATTGCACAGAGCAGGTGACGTAGAAAACATTTTGCATGATCCAGCTCTTAC